ACAAAACCAGTTTTCAGAATAAAAGCTTACATAACAAAAACTGAACTTAAAGCAATTAAATAATACATCAACTATAATTAAAAGCCGTATAATGTCACCTAACGTTTCTAATTGATATAAATACATATAGATATAGATCTACTATCTACTGAAATATATTGTATATCAAACCCCTCATTATCACTAGCTTCTAAAGTCGATTAATATTACATTTGTAAGTATAACCGATTTCAATCATTCACATATAGATCATTTTTGTTTCGATTCCTAGTAAATATTTAAAGAACTTCTTAGTTTTCATGGATATGTAAACCGGTTTGGGCTTGTAAAGTGAGAACCAGTCACAGCGTAGACTTTAATTAAAGAATCTAACGTAATGCAACTGTTCAGTATCAACTATCAGTGATGGTCTTACACCACACTTATACCTGCGCGTTCTGTGAAACGCTGAGTGAAATGCTGAGGCTGTCCATCTCTGGTAATTATTAGGAATCAGATCTTATACCTTTCTTTGGTCCCCATTGAACCACATGACATCTAAAATGCAGCACTAAGGGATTTGGTAAGATTTTTTAATAGAAGACTTTCTAGGCTCTGTAAAATGCTAAGTGACACATTAGCCTATCTTATATGTTCGCCTCTGGCAATTATTAGGAATTAGATCTTATACCTTTCTTTGGTTGACATTGAACCAAATGACATCTAGAATACAGCACTAAGGGATTTGGTAAGATTTATTAATAGAAGACTTTCTTTGGGAATAAAACAATAGGTCTACATCTGTGGTACTGCAATCAAAGATATTTGTAGAATTATCAATAGTACTCTGTCTTCAGGAATAGCACAACAGTTCTCAAATGCTGTAATGTTTCATTGACCTTTGCAATATAAATGAATATAACATAACTTTTATAGGAAAATGCAGTATAAATAAATGTGAATTTTTTTGAAAATGAAGTGAAAAATCAATCTAAAATTCACCGCTTCGCATTCTAAAAAGTTGAATCACTGAAATCGAAGCCTCATTATTTCTTTTCTTGGAACAAAGCAACTGATAAGCGACCCTTTTTTTGCAGTTCTATGCGAAGCAAGGTCATGACGTGGATGTTGACGAAAAGCGAAACCACAAAATGACTCACAATGTCAGTCGACGTTTTTAACTTTCGATCGAAAATTCCAATAAGAATTTTCACTTTACGCTTTTTTTTTTTGTTTTTACAAAATTTAATTGATTTGAATTGAATTATGAATGCTTTCTCACCTTTTACAAATGCGATGCCATTAATTAATTAATTCGTCAATGCGAAAAAGCACAATAAACGCTGCAATTTAATACAAATTTCACTGTTCGACTGTTTCGCTGCTTCACTGCTTCACTTTTCCCTAAAGAGACGACAAATTCCTTTACGCGGCTTTTACGGTTGTTTTGTTTTGACTTTGCTTTGTTGTTGTCTTGTCTTGCCTCGAATCTGCTGCGCTGCTCCTCTCGCTTTATTTATTGTTAAATGCAACAAAAGGCGAAGACGAAGACGAAAATTGCTATTTTATGATTTTTTATGCCAGTTTTTATGTGTACTTTTAGTCGTCGTGGTTTGTATAAATTATTAAGCACTTTTTCTTAAAAACAGTTTTTTTCTTACTCAACTCAACTAGAATTTTGTGCTGATTTGAGTTTTCACGTTTCACAAAAAATTTTGAAAATATGCATTTTGCTTGAATTATTGACTATTGACAGCAAACATTTAATTTTGCGTATAATTTTATTAAGTGCACGAAGTTTATTGAAACTACATGGAGAATATTTCAACTGAAGAAAAGTTTATGCGAAAACAAACCTCAACCCACGAAACTAAAAAAGAAACTGAAAAAACAAACAAGACTGACTTGCCGTACAAAGAGTTGCCTCGCCGTGAATGGTGATGCCAGGCCGTTGGATTCGTCATTTCGGTAAACAATTTACGGCGAAGTATAAAATCAACAATTATTATATATAATCACTTGTATAAATTACATATGTTCATTAATTGTTGACAGTTCCATAGTATAATTATTTATGTATTGTTTTAAAATTTATTATTTTTAATATATCATAATTAAATAAACATTTTTTGCTGCATATGCAGCAATATTTGTTTATTAAAAAATAATTTTAGTGCCAAGAGTATAAATTTCTCATTCGAGTCAACGTTACTATATAACTGTTTCAGTAAATAGTGTATAGAGATAAATAATATATAAAATGATATATAATTTTATTAAGAGTAATAACAATAATGATTGGTCACCTTTAAGTATTTCTATTATACAAGTAATAAATCATTTAATATATATGTATACAAATTTATATGCTGTCGTGATTAATTGCAACATTTATATCTAAAGCATATACATATATTACACATACATTGAACAAAAAGACAACATTTTTAGCTTTTACTTTATATAACAACCACGATCTTTACACAAAACCTAAAGCTGCATTAAAAGATCAATTAAATTATGATATTGGAAATTATTCACACTGCTGCAAAATGAAGCAAATCATATGTTTAATTGTTTGGCTGTATCATATATGATCAATTCAAATCAAACCTTAAACTAAACTGGTTTTAGATTTTAATATGAAATAATATTTTTTTATTTACATTTGCTACCCAGCGCAACTCCTATTAAAAATTTATATTTTAAACAGTTGCTTTCAAAATATCAACTTAATTTTTATAGATTGGACACATCTTTATTGGGCATTTAGGAAGACATGCGTACCAGGGTAATAATTGTCATATTTAACTTATGAGTTTAAAAACAATACGAATTTAGACACTAATTAAAACCCTAAACAAAATCCTGAAAATTGATTGTGAAGTGCATAAAATCTTTATTCGGATGTTGCCATCATCTTGGCTGGAAACAAATTATGCATGTTAAAATTTCATTAAATACTTGAAAACACAAGATAACACAAAATGCAAATAAAATAGGAAAAAACAACTGGAGTCGATATATATCTATCGTATATACAGTGATTTTCATATATTGCAAGTTTCAGAATATTTCAACTGAGTTCACATAATACATTACTTGTTTGTGTTTTACATATAACTGTAATAATGTAACATCGCTTGTAACAGATTATGTATATAGTATATATATTTAGGAATGGTGATAAAAATTATATTGTTGCGTTTTTCCACCAAAAATAAATAAAAGTTATTTTTTTGCCCTGTGGCAATAATTTTATACTTTCACCTTTTTGTGATTTTCGCTGTGTACAGTACAAAAGTTTTTCTACAGTTTGGATGCACTGAAATGAATCAATACAGTTTGTAGAGTACTGCATAAAAAAAGTTTTGTATATTCGAGTAGAATAGCTATTACGCATTAATATAAAGACTACATATCATTCGGAAACTGAAAATATCTTAAGGAATTACGTGGTAAATTGTATTATTTTATAACCAATAAATTTGCGATCACGCAAAAATATTATATTTTAGGCAACTAATCGTAGTTAAAGCACATATGACATTAATTAAAAGACACAGAGACCGTATATTAATAACAATACGATCTTTTTAATTGTTAACAGTTTTAAGGGCATTGTAAAATGTTGCAGACAAATATTTATAGGGAAACTGTTTTAATGCTGTTGTAGTATATTTCAGTGATGAATTTTTGCATAGTCTACGCAAGATGACGAAATTTTCATTAAGCGGACTAAAACTGAGTGCCATAGATAGGCCCTGGCATATTTAATTGGCTATGTTGTAAAATCCAAATTATTAAAAAAGTATGTGTGCATCACAAAAATTTTTTTAAAGTAGTTGGCTCTGTCATTAACAAAAATTTCTAGGATAAAATATTGTTAGTATATCTCATTTTAAAATTTATTCGTTTAAGTATTGTTCCGAAATTTTCAGTGCAAGAAAAAAGAAAAATATATTTATTTTGTAAAATATTTCAAAACTTAAAAAAAATTTGTAGTGGTTAATTCTTCCGATAAAAAAATGGAAGGCGAAAGTATGGATGAAATAATCAAAACAATTACGACAGCACTTGACCACTGTAGGCCCGGCACAAACGACCAGATCATCAAGCGCATATCAAAGAAGCACAACGTAAGTGATTTTTTGAACATTTCACATTGGAGAAACCAAACTGAGATATAGAAACTCTAATTTATAAACACCCAATAATATATCTATATGTATCTATAATAAACCTGAACTGCCAGCAAGCAAGAAGTGAACATTATTGAAAAAAATTTAATTTATAAGAAAGAAAAAAACAAATGACGGATATAAATAATATAAATATAAATTAAATTTATTTATATTTGCTTTTTGTGACAAATATTTATATAAATCAATGTATTACTGATACATATACATACTGATATAAATACATAAATTTCCTATAGATACAAGAAGATATCGTACGCGGCATTCTAATTGGGCCCTTAGAGGGCTTAGATGAGGAGAATGCCGAAACCGGTAAATTAAGTAATTATGATGAGAACGATGAGGACAACGGTGAGGACGATGAGTATGTTGCTGAACGTAGAATGAATACACCCGGCAAAAAGTTTCGCCGGGCTAAAAAACTGAAGTAAAAAGAATCGAAGAATATAACTTCAGGTAAGAAAATATTATTATATTGTCAGTATAAAATCAGAAAAAACATTTTTCTAACACGATTTTAACGCAGAATACAAAAACTATGCAAAGATTAAAATTTAAGTTATTTCATCTACATGAGCCAAAATCTTTGCATAGAAAAAAAATAAATTTCTTAAAGAAAGTAAGTAATGGCTCCCTAATGCTAAGAAGAGATTAAAATAAACATCGAAAACAAAAATCTCAAGGTACGTAACTTTATTAGTACTGAGTAGAAATTAGTGAATAATTAATTGAATATATCCTTCTAGCAGTTTCTCGTCGGCGCTGGAGAAACTATTGTAGTAATTCGTCTGAAGAAAAATTGCTTAGCAACTAACAAATAACCTTTTAACCGTTATTAACAGATGATTCCGGCGTCTTGACGGTTATTATAAAGAACCTGATGAAGAAAAATCTTCATCACACTGAAATTAAAAGAAGATTTACAACGAGATCCTGGAACGGTTGATAAAACACCCTAATTGAATGATCCAGAACAGGATCTACCTATTTCTAAGTTGTGCTACATGAAAAACACCTTTGAGGAACGCATGTAGTTTATTTCGAATACTTGATTATGACTTAACAACTTTTTTCCGCGTTCCTCCTTTTCTATTTTTTTTTTGTTTTTATATGTAAGATATAAAATTTGGTTCCATGGTGCGTCCAGATAAACTTAATGCTAGCAAGGGCTAGAAAGACAGAAAAGGTGAGATCAATGACATTTAGATACTATTAATAGTTATTTAATGATAAGGCAAGACTTCAATTGGTTCTTATCTCTTTTCAGGAACTCTTTACCAAATAATGCAATGCTTAAGTTTTGACCTTTACTTGGAAGTACTTGGAAGAAAGGAAAACGGATACTTTTCGAAGACGAAATGCTAATATCAATGAAAATTGAATAAGATGACTATTGACCCTTATATAAAAGGTCAATAGTTATAACCTATATAAAAGGAATAAAACTTCTATTGAATTTTTCCTGTGCCCTGGAAGTATTTAGCACACAATGGTAATTTAAGTTTTTTGTATCTTTTTGCAACTCAGATCAATGGAAGGAAGAGTATGGGTTTAGAATATATTCGATTATTTATGAACATTTGTCCATCAATGTCGCTGATCGCAGATGCATGCATCGTCCAATGGATTGAATGCTGGCCAAGGATTCTTTTAAAGTGAATATTGATGATAATTAGCAAATTGTCGACAAGGATGGACAAACTGCTTAGGGACCTATAAAGAAGATTTCCATTGATCTTTTATTACTTCCCGAGCGTTTTTACGATATAATCTTATTTCATCTTAATAGTCTTGACTTTAACACAGGATTGATCGTATGAGTGTAATAATTCTTTAAATACTCAAATATGCAAACTTTGTCAACTGCTTAGAATTATTATAGCTCGACGATCGCAGATTTTGGGTTACTAAATATTTAAAAGTTGGAGCCCGAAGCTTTGATAATTTCCCATATCGCAAAACAAAAACTTTTTTTTTACTTTTGGTTAATAAAAAATGGAACAAAGAACAAAATATTTTTTTTTCTCATTACTTAAGCTATTTTGTATATAATAGGCCGCGTGAACATATCCAGCAGTCTTAAAATTCATCAATGAAAGAATTTTTTTGTTGGAACTAATAAATTGTTGAATATTAAAAACTCGACAAATGAGATTCTACACACATACAATCGATCGCACACCGACCGGACCAGAGATCGCAAGAACGAGAACGTCTTACAGTTGCAGTTCCTTAACGCAAACAGAAATGCTGAGAAAAAAACACTTTTACAATTACCCCGCAAACGCCATGGGCAACCTATTATTTTTTGCAATGCTTTGCGGTACAAGGTACGACGTTCGAGGTACGAGGTACGAGGTGAGCGAGTGAATTAGTGAGTGTGCATAGCGCGCCGCAAGGCCGTTTAACTGTAACCTGTAACTGCGAACTGCGCCACTTAAAACTGTGCCCAAGTTGCTTTCGTTGCTGGTTAATACTCGCTTACGCTTTATCAGTAAGGAGCAGGAAAAGGCACGACAAGACGAGACTAGGGAGGCGCATGGAAAAACTTGCTAACTTCAAATATAATAACTTTGAATGGAGACTTGCAGAGAGTGTTGCCAACTTAAAATAAACTATTTTACCACTACAACATAAAACAGGTGATATAATGAGGAGGCATACAGCTGGTACGTTGTTGATTTTACTGTTCATGTTTTTGTTGTTGGTTTTTCTTGTTGTACAATTATTCGGCATGTCTACTTAATCCTTCACAAAAGGTAAACAATATATTTACACTATAATTTTATATATTTAGTAAATATGCATAAAAAGCTTAATAAAGTCGACTACAAACTTTTGAGTAATTAATAAATTATTATTTATTTATGTTGAGAATAGTTGAGTCAGTGCACTTGAGCACTTTTACTCTCTCTAACTGCGAGATTTTTTCATAACCCATTTCTATGCCTTAACTGGATTATTGTTTATCACTTCATCAGACTAAGCAATAATTGACCTCAGATCTGCATACTTCCCCGGGGAGCCTGTAACCATTCTGAGATGCGATAACGCGGTGTTGATAAGCCTGTCGTTTTTGTAAATAATTTCAGGGCTCTATTCTTTATGTAACATAGGTATATATATAATGTAATAATTTATATATAATTCTAATTAAAAAATCGTGATTATTTGAACCAGCTTTTTGTTTAACTTTGAACAGACCATATAATACAAATGGATGCTAACTGTAGATATAAAGCAATAATGAGCTGAGACAATAAAAATCATATACGAAAAATAATACTGAATATTTGATTGTCAAATTATACTTGCAGATCTCTCAACAGAAAGTAATAGAAGCATATGATCTATAAAATTACAACATACGCTTGGTTGCAATGCTAAGTATGATTAGTGGTTTAGTTCAAAATCTAACACAGATTCATAAAGCAAATAATATTGAATATTTATTATTTTAAATGCTATAAATAACTTCCATGTACCTCAATTAATTTTTTGTCGTTTTGGTACCATTCCTCGCAAGAACCCTAGTATAGAAGAGTAGAGACTATACCTATCCCGCCGAATTTAGATAATTTAATAGATCTTTCGTCTTCACCGCTGAACAGTCTGATAAACTACCAAAAAAGTATCTTCCTAAGAGCCTACATCTAATGAACGCTTAAGCCGGGCATTCACAGAGAACATGTATTATGGTATCTTTTTCCTGCGGGCTTCTACAACTTCTGCAGTTAGGATTATGGGGAATGCGCAGTTTCTCTGCATGGGTTCCTATACACCAATGACCAGAAAGAACTGCAGTAAGCTTTGTAGTGTTCACGCGGTCTCTTTTGATGAGTAAGCCTTAGCAATATTAGAAAAAACAGAAATTTGACGTTAGTGTTTATAGTCTTATACTTTTTGCTTTGCAATATATTTCATTGAGTTACCAATTGGTAGCGAACACCTACGGACCAAGAACCCTCTATAATCACATTAACACTAGTTCATAACATTTTTAAGATCCTGTGAAATAGCGACACAATGTATTCGCTATTGCCTATTCAAATTTCGCAACTGTTGCTGTTTCCGAAGCAAAATAGTTGCATTGCAAGTTGTTGTCATGTTGGTTTAAGGCTTTAAGAGATTCATTTTTTTTTTTTTTTTGATTTTTGTGTAATGGCATTGCTTTTGGTTGCACATCTACAATTTAATGATCGGTATGGTAACGTTTTTTGCTGCTACCACGACTCCACATAGCTGTTGTCTATCCATTAGCAATCCGGTTAAATACGTTAAAAAGTTGAAATGCATTATGGCAACAACAAAAAGTCAGCATTAAAACAACAACTCAGGAAGGGAGCGAATGAAGTGGATTGCATCATTAAAAGGATTCTCTATATGGACATACATACATAAAAATGTATATTACTGGTCTGGTATATTGTAGTTGATGTTGATGTTGTTGTTGTTGTTGTCGTCGTTAGTGTTGTTGTCTATAAATATGCTAAAGTATAGAAGCCGTTGTGTTGTTGTTGTTGCTGTTGTTGTTGTTTCTGTTACTGTAACTGTTGCCTTTATTGTTGATCGATCGCGTACAAATTGGAATTTTTATTTCATTTGTTGTTGTTTTTGTGCCATTTCAATTGAATTTAAGTGGGGAACTGTGCCAATGTGTTACCAGGAAAGGATTTTTTTATTTGCTGCTAAAATAAATATGTCAAGTAAGGCTTAAAAAGGAAATATTAATGTTCTAAGTAAAGAGAGTCTGAGTTAGAAACACTAAGAATTTCGAGAAATACATGTACAGGTATGTACGTATGTATGTACATATGTACTTCAACAATATTCTATAGAAGATTTCAAGAAATTCCATGAATCTGCTATGAGTTAAATCTATTTTCATTACATTTTTAGGAATGTGAAAGGAAGTATATAGAGATGTGAACTTTGACAATATAGCTCATAGTCTAACTTTACCAAAGTCGAAACATTACAACAATTAAGCTTATAGGTAACTGCAGATCGAATACTATTTTAGTTTGGGAATAATAGTAATTTTGACAGTTATTCCTATATCTTTATAGTGATATGTAATTGCCATTGAACTTAAAAGATAATCAACTCTAAATACAAAAATATACAAAATATCAGAAAAATCCGAATAAAATTATGACTACTTAAAAGTGAAGTTATAGTAAAATCAAGGCAGATTAGAAACATTATTGAATAAAG